TCACATGAGAAATCCGAAGATTGGTGATTCGTTGAAGCAGAGATTGATGGAATTAGGAAGAGAAGTGATGTTACAGAGATCAACGGCTGAGAATCAACGGCTCGGAGAAGAAGAACAAGCCGCTGTTTTACTCATGGCTCTTTCTTATGCTTCTTCTGTTTATGCTTAACGAATTTTTCTCTGTGGTCATTTAGATTACGAATTAATGTGTAATTTTTTGTGTTTTGTTGTTGAATTAACTTTGAATTTTGTGTATCTTGTTTGTGTGTGTGATCTTGAGGAGAATGAAAAAAAAGAGGTCAATATAATTTTCGTCGGCCTAACAATTGTTATTATTATTTTTTTTCTTTCAAGTTCTGTCTTTATTAGGGACAAGAACGGAGACTGCCTATCTGTCAAGCACATAGATTGATTTTTGAAAATTTTCACTAAAAATGTAATGTTTTTAAATTTGCCGCTTCTTTTTCCCTCTGAAACCATGAAAAATAAAAACTGAAGCTTATAAAGTCTCTTCATAGTTAACGCTAATAAAGACAAAATTCCAAAACATGTAGTATTAAAAAAGTAAACGTGAGATATTATAATCTTTGAAGTTTTGGGTACGTAAACTTAAACCTATTGAAACTCAAAAAAAAATTATACGTATATTATAATATTGAATATTCTAATAAGAAAAGTACTTGATTTGTTGTATTATTTATTTTTATTTAAAATCAAAATATGTAGTTGATAAATACAAATATGCATGTTTTTAAAAAATAAAATTGTTTGATATTTGGCAAAATCTAATTGAATTTTTTTTTTAAGATGTGTCAAAATCTTATCAACTAACTAACATGTCTCACGATCGTATTAATTACAAAGTTTGACGCATCAAAGTTTATCTAATAAGATAATTGCTATTTTTTTTAATAATATAATGGTAACCAATTCAATCGGAAATGAACGAGTTTAACTCCTAATCCATCTATACTTTGGTGGACATGGAGATTACTTTTAAGGAAGTGGGTGACTCTAAAAATAAGACATATCTTTAGTTCATCAGAAAAACGTTAAAAAACATAACACAGCAACTCGCACGGAAGAAGAGATGAACCTAAACTCTTCAACTACGATGAAAAAAAAAGATAACCAAAAGTCTTCAGCTACGATGATCAAAGGTATTTCACTAAACTCCCATTGGTGGTTATTATGTGACAAGTTTAGTAAATCAGTCCATTAAATCAATTCTTCTGTTACTCGACTTATACAGGTCACGTAACCAATTTAGAGTAGTGATCTTACTAATATTTCAATTTCCTACTAATTTTTTTTTTTGCAACGAT